AACCCATGTTAAAAGATGTCAAATGTGTTATTCTCGCTGTAGAAATATGGTGAAAAAATATTGTAAGATCGGTCATTAATGGCACATGACATGGAAATTACTTTTATCTTGAAATCTCAGTTCATTTTTTCTCAAGTTTGATTTCCTTGACACATTTTGGCTCATCTGGAGGCATGCGGCTTTAATTATGGATACAATGTCCAGTTAAATATTACATTAAATTAGTGCAAATGATATGCAACACTTATAGTAGAATTGATGCATATGGTAATGAGCTTTTGAAATTTGAAGATTCACTCTTTTCTGCTCTAGACTTGAGCCTTGGAGGTTTTAAGGTACCTGTTCATGCCTAGCCTGTTTGTGTACGGAGGGGCACCTGAGGTCTTCCTCCAGCAGTCAAGCTGGAAACTCCTCATGACCTTTACTGTGTTGGTGTGACGTTAAACCCAACTAAATAAACATAATGTCACTTTAATATTGTATTTTATACATTATTTACAGGAGCTGAGGAGAAGACTTGCTACATTAACTAAAGATGCTGTGTATTATATTTCCAAAACAGAGGGACTGAAAAACATTGGAGCTCAATTATATATCCTTTGTAAAGTTTAGTTTAAGTTTGACTTGCATAAGTATTTAAGAAGCCTCAGCTTTGCATTTATTCCTAAAACTATAAATATTGGCATTTCCCTTGCTGAATTTGTATAATTTGCTTGTTTTTGTTACAATGAAGACTAAATTTCAAAATAGTGCTTTTGAGCTGTGAACAATGTAGATTAATCGACTTGGTGTTCACTGCTGTGGCTTCAAAATTGTGTCAATAAATCTTTCATGTGAAAAAGCTATTCAGTATTCACCTAGCTTACAGAGGGCTAGTAGGTATGTGGTTTTCTTCGACTAGGGCATCTGGAAATTTGGATAGTTAACATATGTCCTTTACATAGTCAATTTGAATTAAAACTTACAAAACAAACAAAATAAAACAAGATCTTGTCAGACTGTACGGGTATACAGGCTTGTCTCATTTTATATGGGAAGTATAGGTTTGACAATATAGTTGCCACTGATGAAAGTGCTGACAAAAGCTAAAATTGATTTTATTTGACCTTAACTTAGTTTACTGCAGGCATTCACTCATCTGGAATGTCCATATTCCTTCATTGAAACCGATGTTGTATGTATGAGTCTTAAATAAGCTATTTTAACCGGGAAAAAAAAAGCGATTGATTTTCACAAAAAGATGATCTATGTTGAATTTGTTACATATTAGATCTAATACAAAATGTATATTGAAATTATTTAAAATTGCTATTTCAAGTCTATTCAAATCAACTTAATGAGTTATAATCAACATATTGTGCACTTTTTAGTCAATACAAATCAATTTGATTGTGTCCTAGTGTCCGTTCAAGCGTCTCTTGTAGCTGAGGGTTTGCCTTTTTGGTGTTGAGGCATAAGAAGCGTAGTCATTGTTTAACGCTGCATGATCATAAGAGGTGACTAAATGGGTTCGAATTATTGGAGTCTATGCATCTTTTAGCTCCAGCAGGTAAAAAAGTTTTAACACTTGGTGTTGCTTAAAGTTTGTAACACCCAAGGTTGGCCAAAATCATCTTTCAAGTTCTGGTGCCATATATTGTGCGCCATAATACTGAATAAAAAACAACAGCAAATTGTCCTTTCCAGAATGAAAATAAAAAATAATTCTCATTGGTTTATTCAGCATTATCTTATTGATCTTCTGTGTAGAGGTGATAATTGTGATATTTTGGGCATGAGCTGAGTGATGGTTTATAATAGAAACTTTTGTGCCATATTTGTTCTATTATTTAATGAACATTATAAATAATATACAATGTGTATATAATGATATTATAAATTTGTATATTTAGTTGGTTGGAAGTAGAGTGGTAGACAAACACAAGTATTGTCTACTAGAAATGCAGGAATGTTTTGAGACCTACTGTATGAGGAAAGACCAAGCTGAACAGGTTTGTTATTTTTGTTCTAAAGAAAAAAAATATAAAAACAATATAAATCTTTTTAGCTCACCTGTCACAAAGTGACATGGTGAGCTTTGTGATCGCTTTTTGTCCGGCGTCCGGCCATCCGTAAATTTTTACTTTCAATGACATCACCGCTGAGCCAATTTCATCCAAACTTAAAAGGAATGTTCCTTTGGTAGTCAACTTTAAAAATTGTTCAACGAATTTAATTCCAAGCCATGGCAACCGAAAGAAAAAACTTAAAATTTCTGTTTTAGAAAACCATAAGAGCTAGAGCTTAAATATTTGGCATGAAACATTATCTAGTCAGTGTCCACCAAGTTTGTTCAAATAAATGCCCTGGGGTCAAAATTGGCCCCACCCCAGAGGGTCATTGTTTTTCCCTTTAAAAGGCCTTGAAAAGGGCGACATATAGGGGTTACTTTTGTCGGCGTCGTTGTTGGCGCCCCCTTAAGCTTGTACAGAGCATAACCCAGTCATTATAAGTCCGATTGACTTCAAATTTGGTATGCATGCTTCTTATAATGACCTGGAGTGCAGTGCATAAGAACCGGTACTCTGCACTTCTTAATTTTTGAGTTATTGCCCTTTGTTAATTTTCATACTTTATTTTTGTCCAGGCCATTTCTCCTAAAGTATAAAAGCTATGGACATGAAACTACATAGGATGATAGACCTCATTAAGAAAAAGTGCAGTGAACAAGAACCGGTCCAAACAGGTGCAAACCCGGTTATAGTATGGTGAATGTTGGGCAGCGGGCGGGAAGGTGGCGATCGGGCGGTGAAAAAACTTTTGTAACAGTTTTCTCAGCAGCTACTTATCACAGCCTCTTGATATTTGGCATACAGCATTAACACATAGTCCCATACCGTGTGATTTTATTTCAGATCTGTGGCTCATCCACTTCCTGTTTGCTGACTTAGTTAAATTTTCGACATTAATGGTCAATGGTAGGAAATTTTCGTAACAGTTTTCTCAGCAGCTACTTAGCACAGCCTCTTGATATTTGGCATACAGCATTAACATGTAGTCCCATAATGTGCGATTCAATTTCAGGTCTGTCTCTCATCCACTTCCTGTTTGCCGACTTAGTTAAATTTTCAACATTAGTGGTCAATAAAAGGAAATTTTCGTAACAGTTTTCTCAGCAGCTATGCATCACAGCCTTCTGATATTTGGTATACAGCATTAACACAGGGTCCCATATTGTGGGATTTGATTTCAGGTCTGTCGCTCATCCACTTCCTGTTTGCCAACTTAGTTAAATTTTCAACATTAATGGTCAATGGTAGGAAATTTTCATAACAGTTTACTCAACAACTACTTATCCAAGCCTTCTGATATTTGGTATACAGCATTAACACAGGGTCCCGTACCGTTGGATTTGATTTCAGGTCTGTCGCTCATCCACTTCCTGTTTGCCAACTTAGTTAAATTTTCAACATTAATGGTCAATGGTTTGAAATTTTCATAACAGTTTACTCAACAACTACTTATCCAAGCCTTCTGATATTTGGTATACAGCATTAACACAGGGTCCCGTACCGTTGGATTTGATTTCATGTCTGTAGCTCATCCACTTCCTGTTTGCCGTATTAGTTAACTTTTTGACATAATAAACGATCAAAAGTAGGAAATTTTCGTAACAGTATTCTCAGCAACTACTTACCACAGCCTCTTTGATATGTGGTTCACAGCATTGACATGTGGTCCCATCTTGTGGGATTCCATTTCAGGTCTGTTGCTCATCCACTTCCAGTTTCCTGACTTATTTTAATTTTCAACATCATTGGTCTGTGGTAGAAAATTTAAGTAACAATTCACAGCCTCATGATATTTTGTATACATATGCAACCAGGCCTTTTCTGTCTTTGACCCATTTTTGTTCAAATAAGGGCCCTGGGGTTAAAATTGGCCCGCCCCGGGGATCATTGTTTTTCCTTATATGTATATAGTAAAAACTTTAAAAATCTTCTGTTAAAAAACCCAAAGAGCTAGAGTTTAGATATTAAGCATGAATTATCTTCTAGTGAGTGTCTACCAAGTTTGTTCAAATAAAAGCCCCGGGGACAAAATTGGCCCTGTCCGGGTGGGGGTGGGGGTGGAATGTCATTGTCTTTTCTTATATGTGTATATAGTAAAAACTTATGAAATTATCTTAGAGCTAGAGCTTAGATATTTATCATGAAACATCTTCAAATGGGAATCTACGAAGTTTGTTCAAATAACATCCCCTGGGTTAAAATTGGCCCCACCCCGGGGGCCTATATACAGGTGAGCGATTTCAGGGCCATTATGGCCCTCTTGTTTTTAGAAAAGGGTTCTATTCCTGTATGAGTGTTGAATGTTTTGGCTTTACTTGTTGTAAAGCTGAAAGTGATGAAATATACTAAAAAATGTAAACTGTAAAATAAATTGAATTTCACAATATTATGATCATACATGGAGAAAAATTTTAAGACGTTTGTATATATTCAAGCATGAATTATAAATGAAACTAGAATAAAATTTTCCCAGACAAAACATTTTCTACTGCTGATTTTAGAAAGTCTTGCTTTGCATTTGTGAATACTCCATCAACTAAACAGCCTTTCATTTTCGATACTTTGGTATGATTTTATTGATTTTATCAATAAATAAAACAACAATTCTTCTGATAAAGATTGATACCCTTTAAGACTGATATGGATTAAGATAATTTAAAGCTTTCTACTCAATCCATCTCAATTTTAAAACTTTGAAATAAAACAATAAGAACCATTAGGTAATGCTTTCTCATACAATTAGGAATTAAGCTGTCAGTATTAACTATCACTGAATTATTTCATATTAATGTAAATTGATGTTTTAGAGTTTAGAAGAAATCAAGGTATCAATTAAACAACAATCACTTGGTGATGGTGGAAGCTTTCCTATACAATGTAGTGAAGAACAGGTAATATTTTGATAGCCTAAGTGACACATAGGGTGGACCATTTTTGACAAAATGGGGATGAATTTATGCAACATTTGTAGAGGACCACAAGGTGAATGTGTGTCTTTTAATATGAAACTTTTATTCTTTTACATTACTATGTCACCATAAGCATGATAAGTGTTACTAACTAGCGATGGAAAGTCGCCATATAACCTAAAGTGTTGTTTGGACATTAAACCGAAAATTTCTTTTATATTAAATAAGTGTGACTGCCATCAATGTATTTCAGGTTAGAAATTGGGGACAATCATGATTCAAAATAATTATCACTTTGTAAAATCAAACTTTATTTTCTAAAAATGCATACAAGCAAAAAATCACATGTAGAAAAAATCGATACATTTATCAGGTTTTCTTCTTTTTTTTTCAGAAATTAGATCTGTGCCAAAAGTTATATAAACTAATTTTCCAACTAGTTATGCTGTTTGAAAGTTAAATCAAGCTACTAGATTGTTTCAAACTTGTACAGACAGCCTCACAGGTAAACATCCTAAAGATTCTCTGATTTATATTCTGATGTTCTTTTAGCTCACCTGAGCATCAAGTACTCACTGCAATTTGTCTGTTGTTCTCAACAATTCATATAAACAACATTTACTTAAACAATGTGTGAATTTTGACCTAAAGGAATGATCCTTAAATGACACTGTACAAAAGTTATATATAAATGATGCCAGTCCGATGCACAAGTATGTCACACGAGCTGATAATAGTTTAAAAAAAAAATAAAATTACTTTAACAAGTCTTCTATAAAACTTTAAAGCTACATTAAATAAAATTTTAAAAATATTTTGCTCATCTGGCCTAAAAATCAAGCATTCTACAGTTTCATAACATGTTTAACAGTATTGTTGTAAATCTCATCAAATATTGTTCATAAATTAGGATTTTAAACGGAAAACCCCACGGTAACACTAAATTAGTATTACGAATTTTAACATGCAAATGAAGCCATTATGACTCATGTATGCGCTACGTCACAGTTTAATAAGTTCCTATCCAGAACACAGCAAATATGATATTTTTTTCTTTGTGCAAACACACTTTTACCGTTAAAGATTCACGGTGCACTAAGCTTTGGGTTCAGAAAAAGTAATCATCTCGTAAATAGATTAAATTTGTAATGAAAAACATTTCCGTTACAATGGCGGGAAAATATACCGTTTTAAATTAAAGGACTACTACTTATAGTCATGTTTGTTGATTCAATATTGATGTACGGATGATCCGAAGGGCGGAGTTTCTCATGGCAAAACAAGAAATTGTACTTTCGGCCACAATGAGGTTACCCTTTTTTATGCCTTTAAAACTCATTTTAGTTGCCTGGACACTAAAATAAGACCTGGTATCGATATGAAACCCAATTTATTAATGCAATGTCAGTTTTTTTTAACAAAAAATTTATTAAATGTAGCTTTAATGTCAAGAGCATAGTAATCTGGTATGGTATGTAACATCACATTGTCCTGTACAAAATTATATAAAATTATGTCAGTCCATTGCACACATAGGATATAATGAGCTAAAAAAATGTTTAAAAATAAAATCTTTACAAATTTTCTATAAAACTATAATGTTAAGAGCATAAGGTATCTGGCATGTCCTCTACAAAATTTATACATAAATTCATAACATGTGTATTCTATGTAAGAAAACAAAATTTAAGTCACAGTGCTTACTCGCTTAAAAATTCAGGAGTTGTTCAAGTATTTTAGTTAGTAAATATTAAGGATGAAACACCAGTAAAACAAATATTAAGTGAAACACTGGTAAAACTTTATTAAGTAAAAACACTAAAAAAACGACTAAGGTATATAAAAAATACTTTTTAGTTATTTACAGAAATAAAAAGAGAAATGCATTAAAACAGAACTTTGCAATTTGTTCCATTTGGTGATTAAGTATTCAAATGATATCTTGAAGCAAATCTCTTTTAAAAGTCTTTTTTAAAAAAAATGTATTACATTATCAAAAGGCATAAAATAGGTATTCAAAATTTGCAGTTAAAAAATTATTTTTTTAATTATATTTTTACTATATACAGATAGTAAATGTAAATTTTATCATTATTCAGTATTTTCATTACCATTATTCAATATTGTAGCTTTCTTGTAAAATCATCACACAAGTTCTTTATCAGCATAAGATTTCCTCAGATCATTCAACCGTAATGTTAATTAAAGAGCATGTGACCAAATCACATAGGCTTTTAAATATTTTAAAGCAGTTCTTCCCTAAATTTGTAATATGATTATATGACAAAACCAATTTTATTTTTAATGGCTTACTGTAAAGTGAATCGGTCTATAATGGATGATTTGTAAAACAAAAAATTATGATGTTGAAAGTGTTTAGTATTAGATATAAATACAAACCACAAAAAAATTTCTATGAATCTTGTTGGCAGGTGTGAGACACATGATCCGATAATACATAATTATACTTATATTGAAGATAATAAAAATGTTCTATAACAAAATATTATTATCCATCATATACATGTTTCATACTATGTATACTAGTTAAAACATTAATAACACTTTTTCCAAGCAATATTTTTAAATACAATTTCCAAATGATACATTTCTTTTGTTTATAGCAATTTTTTAAAACACTTATGGAAAATGTGCTTACTGTAGATTTACACATTTTAATGTTGACAAAATAACAAACATAGGCAGTGAATTGGGTATTAACTGGTTTTGATAAAATACAGTTAAAAGTTGTATTGTTCTACGACAGTTTATAGATCTGAATGAAGTTGTCATATTTTGCATCTGCAACATTACAGCTGTAATACAGCTTCTTTGTTTTTCCGCACCAACATACAGCCTGTGGTCTTTTCAGATCCTGCAGCACCACTTTTCCTGTAGAACAATCTCCTGATATCTCTTCTATAACAAGTCTCGCCAAGTCACACACAAAGACAGTACCATCATCTGACAGTGACATTCCTCTAGCGGTACTCATACAACTATAACTACCTATCACATCACCTTGCCAGTTTAATCTTGTCACTGTCTTCATGCCCCAGTCAGATACATAGATAGAACTTCTGTTACATGTGATATAATGTGGATGATTGAAAATATTTTTTCCAAATTGTTGTCAGTATAGGGCCATTGATATCAAAGATCTGAAGTTTTATAGGGTAAAGGAATGACACAATAAGTTTATTTTGATAACAGCTTATACCATAACAGTCTCCACCAACCTTCATATTGTGCTTCATTATGAGTTTGTTTGATGAGATTGATATAAATTGTATTGTTTGTTTGTAAGGAAGTGTGACAGCAAGTTCAGTACTGGTTACTGTGGTGATATCCCATGGTCCAGCATCTAGTTGTAGTTGATCAGACACAGATTGACTGCTGGTATCCACCATCTTTACAGCATTGTTAAAGTAGTCAGTGATGATAAGAAGATCAGGAGTCAGCAGAGTCATTCCTGTTATCCAGAATCTTAATTTATCTTTTGATGTTTTCACACAGATATCTCCCTCATGTGAAGATTGTCTAGACTTTATTTGTACAGATTGACATTCTGTATTAAAAGTTTTATGTGTCAATGTACCCAATGACTTCTCTGTTTTAAGGAAATTTAATATTACATCATTTGATCGAAAGTTGTGCTCTTTGATATCATATGATAAAAGTTGTTGAGTTTTTCCCTCCATATTCTGTATTGTTTTCTCTGCAAGTTTAAGTTCCATGAAAAGTTTGTTGGCCTGTTTTGATGTGTTGAGTTGTTTGATTTTATCTGATGATGTTTTCAGCGATTTTCTCATATCTTCATATGTTGTTTCTGCTGCTTTCAGATGTTTGTTATTTTCTTGTTCTATAACTTTAGCTGCATCTTCAGCCTGTCTCTCAAGTTCATCTAGTCTTTGGTTGATTTCTTGCCGAAACTTTTTGATTGCTGCTAATGCATCTTTGAGAGAGCTGTTTGATTTGTTTGTCATGTTCTTGACATCTTCTACCATCTGTTGAAATTGGTCAGAAGTGTGATTCAATGTTTTTAGAATATCTTGATATTGTTTGCTGTCTATTATATCACCAGAAATGTCTGGTATATAATCAACTTTGCAGGAAGTAGCTTGATGTTCAAGGGTAACACAAACACTGCAAAGTAATTTTTTATGGTCATTGCAGTAGAACTTGATCATTTCTTGTGGATGTTTAAGACAGGGTGTGGTCAGGACATCAGACTGACCTGTATGGGTGGGTGTTGAGGGTTGCTGCAATACTTTAGGCATATTAGTAGCGTCCTGAAGTGTGTGATGTTTTGAAAGCCTACTCACTTTATGTGCTGTGAAACAATTCTTGCAGAGGTGTTCCTTGCAGTCAGTGCAGTAACCATGGGCAGGTAGTCTAGGTCCTTCCTCGTCACAAGGCTGGCAGTAAATTTGAAGATCTTCATCTGATGCCATGGATGTTGTAGATGATGAAAATTGTTTTGATGCTTTCTTTCCTGAGACTGCCATGTTTTACCTAAAATGTATTATAATAGAGTACTGTGTATTGCATGTTTGTCTAATTGCCTTTTTGTATATAATTATGTAATTATGTAATTATGTCATACTCTACCAGACAATTCAAAACATAGGTAGTACCTTGCTTACATTTATGGCTTGTTTGAGGTAAAAAGTTGAGCAAAATAAAATCTATTATCTATAAGACATTTTAAACTTGTTCTTATAATACATGTTTAACACTCTTACTTCATAATAAGATCCGAATGGTTTTCATTTAAATTTATATTTATGCATTTTTTAATGTCAAAATATTTGTTGTGTCTCATCAAACTAACACTTAATTTAAGATGTACAAATACAGTCACTTGAAACTTGAAACTTTTTATTTAATTAAACGCCTGTTTCTATTTAACAATATTCAACGGCGTTGTACAGTACATATTATAATATATTATAATAAGAATAAAATTGTGAATGCATAAGAATATGTGGATCAACATCAAATGAAATAAAAGCTTTTACATACAATTCCAATTAACATATTTTTAAAAAAAATTTAGAGACCATAAAATGATAAAACTGATATGCATGTAGCATGAGATAAGATTATTTACATACATGTAACTTGATTACAAATAGATTAAAAAGAATAAAACATTCAATTTCATTGCACATTCATCAAACTGTCAGTCATCAGTTATACGTTACTCATGTTTATCTCATTTCAGATTTTAAAATAGTGATTCAAACTTTCTGAAAAAATGTGTTTTAAGATTTCTCTTAAATACATCAATATTTTTTAGATTGTTTCAACTCTAATGGCAGCGGATTCCACAATTTTGGACCAATAGTTCCGAAACTTCTGTCACTAAATGTTTTTCTTTTATTGAATGGAATAACGTAGCAGTTCTCAGAGGTTTTAGCTTAACGTAGTCGGGTATTTTGTACTTGTATGATTAGGAGTTCAGAAAGGTATTTTGGAGCATGACCGATTGAACAATTGTATACAAAAGTCAGAATTTTATATTCGATTCTAGATTTGATGGGCAGCCAGTGAAGGTCGAACAATGCTTGCCTTGAACTATCAAATTTCTTTCGTTGCAGAACTAACTTAGCGCACATGTTTTGAATACGTTGCATTCTTTTCAATTCAAAATCGGATACACCATAAAGAATGACATTGCAATAATCCAAGTGTGACATTACGAGTGCTATTACTAGTATTTCAGCTGCTTCTTTGGTGAGGTATTTTCGGATACGTTTTGTTCTAAGATAGTTTAACATAGCAGTACGGCACTTTCGTTTGACATGTTCCTTGAAATTTAGTGTTTGGTCTAGAAATGCGCCTAAATATCTAATGGACTCTTCGGAGTTGATCTTATTTCCGTTAATACAAATGGATTTTAGGTGACACTTTTCGAGTTGTTGAGATCTCACAAATGTTATGAATTCTGTTTTCGATGAGTTCATCTTGAGTTTATTAGCGTTCATCCAGTTGTTGATATCAATCGCACCATTTTCTAATTCAGCGATTGTAGAAATTTCACTATTTTCTTCAGTCGGTTTAAAACGTTTGGTTGCAGTATGGTCATCAGCGAATCCATACACCGATAATCCAGATGGAATCACGTCAAACAAGGTTCCCGCATACGTTAGGTTGAGCCAAGGCCCTAAACAACTACCCTGGGGACACTGCACTCTAGTTGCCGTGGAGCTGAGACCGCCGAGTTGACACACACGCGACAGCCCCTTGGACGAAGGTATGAATCAAGCCAGCTGAGCACTGAACCGCTCACGCCGTACTGCTTCTGTAGCACGTCGACGAGTATATCATGATCCTCAGTGTCGAACGTGGCACTGAACTCAATCGCGATTAGTGCTGTAACTTCTTGTTTTTCCATGGCTGCCAACAGATCATTAACTAATCGCAGTAGCGCAGATTCACAGGAGTGGTATTTTATGTAGGCGGATTGGTTTGTAGGTAGTAAGTCATACTGATCAGCATGTTTATTTAGTATTTTCAGAGCTGCTTTTTCAATCAGTTTTAATAAAAACAATAGATTACTAACAGGTCTATAATTTGAGAATACAAGTTCAAGTCAAATTTTCTTCAAAAGTGGTCTCACGATAGCCTCTTTCCATTTATTTGGAAATATTCCTTGCTGTAGTGATAAGTTTACCAGTTTTGTTATAATTGGGAGTAGTTCTCTAAGGAATAGTTTTAAAATTGCTGTCGGTAATATGTCCAATTCACAAGATTTTGTCTGTAGTTAATTTATCAGCTCTTTAACAGAATCATTTGAAAATTCATCAAAGGTAAGAAGAGATGGAACGTTTCTAGTATAGTAGTCAACTATCGTTATCTTGACATCGCTTTTCTCGATATTTCGTTATCTCAATGGAATTTTGAAAGTCCCAATTTTCTTCCTTCTTTATCTATATTAGAATTATTTGTTTATCTCGATATTTTATGTCGATATTTTTATAGCAATTCAAAGTAAAATGTCATCTCCAACAGTAATTTTCACGCTATTATCCTTTCTTTATCTCAACTAATAATCTTTTGTCTCACCCCCGCAGAGGTGTGAAAAACAAAACCAGACGATAATCACTTAATAGCATGTGTCATAATGATGACAATGTTTGTAACAAGTCTGGCTTTGTTTATAAAAGTTTACCTAATTAACGTATTGATTGACTTATGTCCAAAACGATAGAATCTTCCGCTATTTTTAGCTCACCTGTCACAAAGTGACAGGGTGAGTTTTTGTGATCGCTTTTCGTCCGACGTCCGTCCGTCCGTAAACTTTTACTTTAAATGACATCTCCTCATAAACCACTAAGCCAATTTCATCCAAACTTCACAGGAATGTTCCTTTGGTGGTCACCTTTAAAAAATTTTCAAAGAATTAAATTCCATGCAGAACTCTGGTTGCCATGGCAACCAAAGGAAAAAAATTTAAATATCTTCTTTTAAAAAACCCTAAGAGCTAGAGCTTATATATTTGGCATGAAACATCTTCTAATGAGTGTCTACCAAGTTTGTTCAAATAAAAGCCCCGGGGTCAAAATTGGTCCCACCCCAGGGGGTCATTGATTTTCCCTATAAGCATATAGTAAAAACTTAAAATATCTTCTTTTAAATAACCCAAAGAGCTAGAGCTAATATATTTAGCATGAAACATCTTCTAATGAGTGTCTACCAAGTTTGTTCAAAGAAAAGTCCCAGGGTCAAAATTGGCCTCGCCCCAGGGGGTCATTGATTTTCCCTATATGCATATAGTAAAAACTTAAAAAATCTTCTTTTTAAGAACTCAAAGAGCTAGAGCTAAGATATTTAGCATGAAACATGTTCTAATAGGTGTCTACCAAGTTTGTTAAAAAAAAAGCCCTGGGGTCAAAATTGGCCCGGCCCCAGGGGGTCATTGATTTTCCCTATATGCATATAGTAAAAACTTAAAAAATCTGCTTTTAAAGAACCCAAAAAGCTAGAGCTAAGATATTTAGCATGAAACATCTTCTGATGAATGTCTACTAAATTTGTTCAAATAAAAGCCCCGGGGTCAAAATTGGCCCGGCCCAAGTGGGTCATTGATTTTCCCTATATGCATATAGTAAAAACTTCAAAAATCTTCTTTTAAAGAACTCAAAGAGTTACAGCTAAGATATTTAGCATGAAACATGTTCTAATGGGTGTCTACCAAGTTTGTTCAAATAAAAGCCCTGGGGTCAAAATTGGCCCCGCCCCGGGGGTCATTGATTTTCCTTATATGTGTATAGCAAAAACTTAGAAAATCTTCTTTGAAAAAAAAAAACAAATAGCTAGAGTTTAGATATTAAGAATGAAACATCTTCTAGTGAGTGTCTACAAAGTTTGTTCAAATAAAAGCCCTGGTGTCAAAATTGGCTCCGCCCCGGGGGTCATTGACTTTCCTTATATGTGTATAGAAAAAAACTTAGAAAATCTTCTTTGAAAAAAACCAAATAGCTAGAGTTTAGATATTAAGAATGAAACATCTTCTAGTGAGTGTCTACAAAGTTTGTTCAAATAAAAGCGCTAGGGTCAAAACTGGCCACGCCCCAGGGGTGCCATTGTTTTAACTATATGTGTATAGTAAAAACTTAAAAAATCTACTTTTAAAAAACCCAGTGAGTTAGAGCTTAGATGGTTAGCATGAAACATCTTCTTATGGGTGTCTACCAAGTTTGTTCAAATAAAAGCCCTAGGGTTAAAATTGGCCCTGTTGGGGGGAACTATATACAGGTGAGCGACCTCAGGGCCATCATGGCCCTCTTGTTAAAATATTCGAACACTGTATTAAATTCATTGTGACTTTAGATGTAAATGAAAAAATGTTCAGTATAGAAACCTTGTTGCCATATTGTTTTACAACATCGAAAAAAATATCAAACTGCAGCAAAGCATCTCGAGAATGGTCCGATAACCAACCCGGGAGGATATCTGGATCGACCATGTTGAAAACATTTTCACTATAGTGGTGTATTACTGAGTAAACCTCACTATGTGTTTTTATCACAGACTTCCATATTTTTGCTGGTAAACATCCGCTAATTTAACTTTGTTAAATATAGACTGTGGGATATAAGGCTCAAGAAAACAAGACATGGAGATATTATACTTTAATTTATTTGACTTAAGGTATGTTTGTTTGTTTGTTTGTTTGTTTTGGGTTTTACGTCACATCGACACTTAAGGTATGTACGCTCCTTCATAAAAATCAGTTACTACCTTGTTCAAACCTTATACGTTTATCTCTCGACAATTCGTTATCTCGATATTTTTGGACGGTCCCGATGACTTCGAGATTATGAACGAAAGTCGACTGTATATAAAAGTATGCCATTGTTAAAGGCGAAAATGAATATGTACAAATTTGTAAGAATACCATTGTGACAGACAAAAAATTAATATGTACAAATATATAAGTATGCCATTTTGACAGACAAAATAAAATATGTACAAATATGTCATTGTTACAGGTATTTAAGTATACAATTGTCACAAAAAAGTACAAATATATAAGTATGCCATTGTGACATGTACACATATATAAAAGTGCAAATTTGACAAACAAAATGAAATATGTACAAATATGTAAGTATGCCATTGTGACAAACAAAAATGAAATATGTACAAATACATGTATGTAAGTATGCCATTTTGACAGGCAAATGAAATATTGTGACAGGCAAAATGACATTAAATATTTTAATTAAAGAACTGAGAATTTAGTACCTCATCAATGAAACTTTCATGAGCCTAAAGTATCACAATTTTTCCATTTTTTGACATCAAATGTCAGGTTCATTTATTACACAATTTAATAAAACAAGAAATAAAAACTGCATTTCATCTTATATTGGCTATTGACTTAATTGTATATACACTTAAATGCTTTAGATTTTTTTTATTTTTACCTCATTTTCGGGCCAAAGTTAATTTGTTTTGTATGTGAGAATGAAAAGCCTTTGTTTCGAATGTTTCCTGGCCAGCCAAAACAATTAAGTTTGTTTATCCAAAATATTCTTTTATATTGCATATAATATTTTTCTGTGTGTTCTTATGATATTGATAATTCTTTTTTAGGCAGCAATTATATTTCTGATAAGGTAGTGGGAGGGGAAACAAACACTATAAATTAATCAATTATGACAAGTTTATACAAAGTAGATGCTGTGTTCAATGTAAATGTTGTCTGCAGACAGACATACAGACAGACATACAGACAGCACAAAACCAAAAAATATGGAATGAAAATCTTTAATTTTGTGCAATCATCATTACTGTTTAAAAAGTGCTATTTATATGCTTTTATGTATTAACCCATTACTGCATGAGTATTTTGTGAAAAATGGCTGTTTTCATTGAAAAGTCTCCCGTTACAAGTTCAAATTGCTATAAAACTATAAAAACTTCTTCAATACTAATCAAACTTGGCACAAATGTTGACTGGACCATTGCCTTTGTAACAACAGGCTCAGTCTTAAATTTCCTTTTACCATGGCAACGAGGGGACATCTCAAAATTGCCAAAAATCACTATTTTGCGTTGATTTTTTCCATCAAAATTGATTTCAAAGTGCTGCAACTTCTCAATGGATGTCAAAGGCTTTTCAGCGTTGGTTGCACATTACCTTATGATTGACCTTGGGTCATTTTTAGCCTCTCATAAGTCCAAAAAAATTTGGCGATGAGGGGGACTGCCACCCTCTTAAAACCCCCCAAACACAAGGGGGCACATCCCCCTTCTGGCAACCCCCTGATGTACCTTTTTGATGGGGGGCAGCGCCAAAAAAGTGCTCACTTTTTTTATCAACATTTCTCAAACATAAATATGTGTTGGGGGCCAAAACAGGATATTTTTTTCACTATTTGAGGCCTAAAAGGGGTGGGGGTTGGTTGAAAGTGCGTTGTTTCGCGTATATATGAGGTAAAGGGTTAAACATTGTTAAAAAAGTCCTATTTAATAATGTGTTGAAATTTCATAAACCTTAATTTGTCAACAGTATTTTGTTACCGTACAGCTTAAAACCAAAACCATCATGCTTTTAAAAAGCAGTTTATGCATAATTTAAATATTAAGAGAAACAAAAAGGAAACCATCCTACCTTAAGTTATCCTCAAAATTGTGTCACAGGTTTGAAATGTCTTTATTTTTCTAAAGGTTTAATGTAAATATTTTGCTGTTACTATTGGAGTCATGCATTCATGGAATTCGATAACGATATTTACTTCCTTGTTTTGCAACATTGATTTTTAAAATTGTATACATTTCAAACTTAACAGTTTAAATATAAGAGATAGCAGGCCTTTATTTAGCTGATACAAGTACATGGTGTTTGAAAATATATCAGATTTTAATATTGTGTTTAAAACTAGTATTTTAATCATTCAGGAAAGATAAATTTGCTATTTCAATCCCAGTTTTTCTTTTTCATGATTGCACAAATTTTAAACCATTACCTATACTGTAAGTTTATACATGTCCACATGTTTAAATTGATGTATACATGTATTACAATCATAAATGATAGTTATAAATAGAAGCCATTAGAAAGGGTTGTAAATCTGTTTGAAAGCATTTAGCGCAGATTGAGTAAACCTAATTACTTTAGTTTATACAAAGTTTGATTGTATTGAAAGCTATAAGATTATTGAAACACTCTCAAATCCTTTCCTTGAACCAACCTGAGTTCTAAGCAATGAATGTAAATATTCTTGCTCAAGGAAACAACTGCTTGCTCCTGACAGTGTTTGAACTCATGCAGTCAGCAATCTTTAGATTACCAATCCAATTTGATTACCACTAGACCACAATGCTACTCTCCATTAAAAGATAAATATGATTTATGATATATGGATATCTCATTAAGATGATTTGACAGCAAGTACAGAACATTAAAAGGATGATTTCAAGGTTACTGTTAAAGCTCTGAAGTTTGAATCTGCATTGTTTAAATTGACTTTTACATGTATAAGGATCATAAATTATATTTATAAATTAAAGGGGTTGTAAATGTGTTTTAAAGCATTTAGAGCAGATTCAGTAGACCTCCCGATTATGTTTTCAACTTCCATTAGAGATAATTATGATTTATGATATATGGATGACTATGTCTCATTAAGATGATTTGACATCGCATGCATAACATTTAAGGAAGATTTCAAGGTTATTGTTAAAAATCTGAAGTTTGAATCTGCTAAATGCTGCTCTCAAACTATGTAATCGCTTCTTTTAAACCACTCTCAAAACTCATACTTTAGATTCTCAGCTTTAAAGCTGCTTACCCAACTGTGATTTTTAAAGATGCTTGCCTCATTAACACCGTTTCAGTTTATATTTATAAGATGTACCCATAAAAATTAATGTTACTAGTTTTCATAATTTAGAAATAGTAAACACCACTGAGAGCCACATAGCATTATAGTGAAAGATTGATAAAGTTTAAATGATTGACTAAATATGTGAACCTTTTGCTTTATTTAGGTGAATGATATATCTGGACAAGTTGAGAGTATTAAAGGGGAAGTCACTGCTGCCATGTCAGAGTTAGAGAATGGCCAGGCATCACCACTGAATGTTGACTCCCCTAAACCAGTCACAAAACAAGATGCATTCTCCAGTCTTACAGAGTATATCAAAAGTCAACAATACCAAAAAGCAATACAGCTTGTCAGATCTTTCAGGTATGGTTTAATAGGGATCTATTTAAATATTTTGTTTAAGATATCCTTTAAAGAGTAATTTTAAAGTAATTTATTACAACCTTTTAAACATCAACGGCATATTCAATTTGTAACAAATCAATGACTTCTAACCACTTTCACGAGAAAATTGACTAAAATTAATTGTTCATATGTTTGAAAACAGTTGTAAATATAAATAAATGGGAAAAATGTATTATCGAGGGCTAATTGATAAATAGACACTGAACAAATGATAAAAAATACAAATTAACCTTTCTTACTGAACATTATGACCAAAGCTCATTGTTGTTATGATTAAAATATGAATTCCCTTATTTCACCAAAATAAGAAGTAAGACAAAACGGACATGAAAACAGTATAATTGCTTGTCTTGGAACGTTCTTAAAGACGCCCTTGTATTACTATGGCACAGATATATCCTTTTATATAACATTGGTGAAACCTTGTTGCTCATCACTAAAGGAAAAGATACACTCAAACTTCACTCACAGTATATTATAAGAATGTATAAACATTTAAGGACAATGTGGCCTGGTGACATGTTTGGACAATCACAGGATGATGACCTTGTTACCCTGCTCAATGTGTTTTGTATTGAAATGGCTGAAAAGAAAACAGGTACCAGTACAGTCATATCATCAATATCTCATAGTTGTTAAATATCTCGGTCATATATTTAGCTCACCTGTCACTTTGTGACAGGATGAGCTTTTGTGATCGCTTTTCGTCCGGCGTCCACCCGTCAAGCGTCCGTAAACTTTTACATTAAATGACATCTCAGAAACCACTAAGCCAATTTCATCCAAACTTCTAAGGAATGTTCCTTTGTTGGTCACCTTTGAAAATTGTTCAAAGAATTTAATTCCATGCAAAACTCTGGTTACCATGCCAACCAAAAGAAAAAACTTAAAATATCTTCTTCTAAAAAACCCAAATTGCTAGAGGTTAGATATTTGGCATGAAACATCTTCTAGTGAGTGTCTACGAAGTTTGTTCAAATAAAATCTCTGGGGTCAAAATTGGCCCCGCCCCGGGGGTCATTTATTTTCCTTATATGTGTATAGCAAAAACTTAAAAAATCTTCTTTGAAAAAAACCCAAATAGCTAGAGTCAAGATATTAAGCATGGAACATTTTCTAGTAAGTATCTACAAAGATTGTTCAAATAAAAGCCCTGTGGTCAAAACTGGCCCTGCCCCAGGGGTGTCATTGTTTTTAACTATAAGTGTAAAGAAAAAACTTAAAAAATCTTCTTTTAAAAAACCCAACAAGCTAGACCTTAGATGTTTAGTATGAAACATCTTCTAATGGGTGGCTACCAAGTTTGTTCAAATAAAAGCTCTGGGGTTTAAACTGGCCCAGCTCGGGGGGCCTATATACAGTTGAGTGACTTCAGGGCCATCATGGCCCTCTTGTTAGAGAAATCTCTTCAGTTTTCAAGCATGTTATTTCTGTTAAAGAAACAAACTGCAATTATTATTGATTACCTAAAATATTGTATCATTAATTAATGTAGATATGTAATTATAATGATATTAAGTCTACTATGTTTGTTATGTTTCAGGTGTATTTGTGTTAACAAAGGTGGAGTTTGATATTGGCTTGTTATATAGCCAATTATTGGACATTAATCAACAAATTAGAAACTGGACTATACCCTCTCCTCAACAGTCATGCACAGGAAACAATGATTTATTAGACTCCAGTACATTATAATAGTATGAATATTCTGAGGTTGACAAGAAAACTACAATTTATTGGATTCAAGTTTATAATGATGGGAAAATATATTCTAATCAGAACAGAAAACTACAATTTACTGGACTCAAGTAAATAATTATGGTAAAATGTATTCTGATTTGGACAGAAAATTACAATTTATTGGACTCAAGTAAATAATGATGGTATCACAGTATTAAGTATATCACATATTCTGATTACAGCATCAATATTTCTTGCTTTGTGAGAGAGTTTATAAAGAAAGTAAACATGGCTTACAACACTTTTAAGTGTTGGAAATTGAGTACCGATTAAGCTGGTGCTAGAGGGAGTGAGGGATGTTGCACTTTTTCAGTATCAGCTACAATACAGACTCAATCAAACAGAGTCTGCAATTTTCATGTTATATTTTGTTGTAATTGATGCTTCCGAGGGATCACTTGTTGTCCAGATTATTACAGACAAGGATTGATTTTGTCTCATTGTTAAGTGATTGTTGAATGTGTATTAAACTCAGTTGAGATGTTTATATTTTGGAAATAATGGTAAACAAGTTATGTGTGATGAAATAGAATAAGTATGCACCCTTACATTAACTTGGGACAATGTTTCAGTGATATATCACACGATAATGTGTGACATACAATATTTTGTTCATGTCGGTCACAGTCATAGTTACAGTGCATTATTATTTCTAACACACTTTGCTGGTAACTTTACATTCAATATGTCACCTGTGCTAGGCTTTTTCTATAGCGAACAATCAGGGTATCATCACATTTCATATTTGATCAAAATTAGATTGTGTAAAGTCTACCTAAGATATGATAAAATGATATGTTTTCATACAATTTTCTACAATAAAAAAATCATGTCATGAAACTTTATTTGTAAGAAGTGCCAAATTTGTTGTTTGTTCTTCTAAATATGTTAATGTTAAGTTGAAAGGTTGTAGATTTTGTTAGAGAAATATTTGTTGTAGTACAAAAATGTATATTTGTCACTATAGTAAGCAAAGTCATTGTGTTGTACATGATCATCGACAACATGATACATACAAACATTAGATTCCACTTAGTCTCTATACATCAATGAGTTTTTGTTCAACGAAATCATTCTTTGAGCAATAAATCAATAAAATAAAGTGTAAATTTGTTAAAACACATTCTAAACAGAGACAGAGTAATATTTTTTCTCTTTTCCAGATTTTTACGCTCTAAAATTGTGTAATACATGTATAATATGTGGCAATTGTAAAAAACAACTTCCCTGTACTTCATTGGAGTGTTATTTTTACAGGATTATTGATTATGTCAATTTTAGTGTTCAAAATTTAATACTGCTTAAAGAGGCACGATACATGTTGCATCACTTTTCACTCTTAAGAATGATTTTTATTTTATATCTGAGTATATTTCTCAATAATCGTTTGCGTATCTCTGTTTTGAGTGCCGGAGTTGATTTTTGTAAGATATTTAAATTTAATGTTTTTAGGCTTTTGGACCAATACATGTTTTGGTTCCTTTAAATATAAAGACTTTTGCGCAGGTTTATAATAAAGGTTGATAAATATTTTTTAAATAAATAACAAAAATCGGTCGTATCATTTTGTTATTGAATCATAATTAGTATATTCACATCCTTTTCCTACTTACTTTTTTATTCAAATGTGCTAATTTAGTAGTTTTAGTTATTAATAAATAATTTTTGTGTTATATTTTGTGTCCCTCTTTGCAAAAAATGTTGGCAAAGCCAATTTTCATTTTTGTATTCAAATTAATATGATATTTATTTGAAAGATATAATATACTGCAAGTTTTGTCACATTGTTTAAGTGAATGTACATTTAGATTCTAAAATAGTATATAATCAAAGTTGAAATCATTGAATGATTAAATTCTCCTTATTCTATTTGGAAATAAATTAGAATGTCTTTGTTCATAAATCTTGGGGGGAGGCATTAATGACAATTCTGTAGACCTAGTAGTTTAGAATTAGGCCATATATACTATAATAGTATAAAATAGTATTTATGTATACAGTCTGTAAATCTATGTCACCAGTTACTTGAACATAAGAAGATGGATGCCCCCACATTACACAGTTTTGTCAGTCTGCTGCTGACGTTCAACAGGACTAATACTGTTTTACTGTTTAGTTGTCAATCATTGTTGATTGTTAGCTGACAAAAAAAGAGACCAGTATTGTGATTCATGGTCTTTTTGTCCTAGTCACTCCTTTAATCTATTAACAGATATTAATAGATATTTAAACGTTCAGCGGTTTTTCAGCATTTGATTCAAATTGAGAAGTTTAGTTAACTTAATTTAGTTTTTAACCCTCTTTATTTAAATTTCTGGATTTTCCTTTACTTTATGGATTAACTATTGAACTATCTGGATCTGCTTCTTTGTTACCTAAATTTGTATTTTTACTAACATGCTTATGATGTGTCTTGATGTATTTGCTTATTGTACATGTACTTTGTAATTATCAGTATTTTCATTTCACAAAACGAATTGCTTTTTAGCTACTGTAAATCTTTATGGCAACCCTTTCTCATTATATGTGTTTTACTACACATACAAACATATAGTTTTATCTTATTTAATAGAATTGCACATGTATAATGATTTCCTGACCACGTTATTTCCACATCTATTTTGACTTTCAGCATATTCAGATTTTCACATTTTTCACATTATCATGCCATTTTTATGATGATAAAAATAGTATTTTTATTAGACATCATTATCCCATAACAAAATTGTAATATAAAACCTAATGTATTGATAGAATAAAATTGTAAAAAACACTTAATTTGATTTTGCTTTTTATTTACCCTATTTAATGTTATTTGTCTCAATGTAAGGTAAAAAAACATATTTCTAGCATTAATATTTAGACTTGATAAAACATTCATTTGATAAATATCAATGTGTATAATGCAAGTTCTTTATTTAAAACTCTTTAAATGCATTTATTGATACTAACAAACCTATGCTACCAGCAAATTCAGCATGAAAATAGGTTATACTGTATACTCATAAGTTTTAACAAGACTCTCTATGTTGGTATTGTTTGTAAGCCACATCAAGTATAGACTACATTCATACGTCCATCACTCTTATAAGACTTTAAACTGTAAATATGATGAACAAAATCATCAAGGAAAGGCGGCGTTCAATGAACGCAGCCCCCACCCGACCCAGCAACAAAGGCCAGCGGCAAGGAGTCCAGGAGGACCCCAAACAAGAAAAGGGAAGGGCACAAGGCAGAGCACGGGCAGGCAAACCACTACCTAAGAATAAATAATTAGAAACTGATAAGGAACTAAAAGAAAACAAACAAATGATTGAATATTAGGCCCATAAAGTCAAAAGGCACAGGGGAAGGGGACACGAGACCCGGGGAGGGGGGATATAAATAGAATAAATAAAAAATAGGAGCAAAGGGGAAGATACTCACCGTAGACGAGAAAACAACAAAAGTGTCACCGAAACAGTATCAAACAACATAGACAAACTTCTGAGAAACACAGAGGGGCGCCGCCTTGGAACGGTCAGCAGCATAAATACTGCTGGGGAGTTTAAACCGGTTAATGGTGTAAGCATTTCATTATAAGCGTTTATATATCAACATCCCTTTCATCAAAAATAAAAAGTTTTAAATGGAAAGTAGGAGTTTATTATATAAATAACTATGATTGAAATGAAGGTATTCACTCAAAGTTTAGGTCAACAAATATCAAAGTTAAAATGTTCACCTGGAATATTGCACATGTAAAAGTCACTTGTTGACAAACCAAATTTGAAGAAGTTCTGGGTTGTTATAGAGTCAATGGTTGCTGTGCAATTCTCTGGTTGCCAAGGAAAAATATTAATGCTGTGAAGTGACTTGTTTAATTGAAAAGGCAATAGTAACTATTGAAATCTACAGTTGCTATGGAAAGTGAATTGTTGCTATGAAAAGTCCTAAGTTGCTATGGAAAGTCAATGGATCCTGAGGGGCGTCTGTGACCGAGTGGTTAATGTCGTTAACTTCAAACCACTTTTCACTGCTGTAGGTTCGAGTCGCGCAAGAGTCTTCAGATTCTTCCATGCAAGAAAGCTATGAAGCAAGCTTACGCAATGCAGTTGGTTATACTCGGGTGCGCCCGTTTTTTTTTTGCCTAAAATAATACCAGAGGTCTTTCTTTACCAGTAAAGCTGCAAAGTCGCTGTATTACCACTGTTTTGGTGCGACGTAAAACCCATCCAAATAAAACCAAGGGTTGCTATAAAAAGTAACTGGTTGCTATGGGAAGTCATTTGTTGCTTTGTAAGTCAGTGGTTGCTACTGAAACTCACTGGTTCGATTGAGGTCGCTTTTTGCGAAGGAAAATCAATTTTTGCTATAGAAATCACTGATTGCTTTGAAACATCAATAGTTCGTATAGAAAGTAAATTGTTACTATAGAAACCAAATTGGGGATTAATGGTTTCGTATAAGTCAATTGTTAATATTTAAATTAATGGCTGCTTTTAAAATTAATTGGTTGCTATGGAAAGTTGTATTGCTATGGCAATTTCTAATTCATACTGTTAGTCAATGGTTGCTTTGAAAAATCACTGGTTGCTATGGAAAGTCAGTGTTGCTATGGAAATCAATAGTTGCTAAGGAGAGTCAGTGGTTGCTTTTGAAAGTAACAGGTTTCTGTTTAAAGTCACTGGTTGCTACCGGAGTTTGTTTGTTTGGGTTTTACGTCACATCGACACAGTAGAGGTCATATATCGGTGTTCCATCTGTACAGGTGGAGGAAGACCTCACTTGCCCTTCCGTGCATTATATCAGGCACCAATGGGCTCCTGGGTAGGACCTTACGCTATTGTTATTGGAGCCAATGGTCGCCAGATAGAGTAACTAATTATTACTTCAAGGTTAATATGGAAAAACACTTGGCAGTGCTCAAATAGACAATTGTTTATACCAAATATCAAAGCTTTTGTTTTTAAGATTATTAAAATATATTTGTATGTTTTTATGTTACGAATACTAGTATAAGGAAAAGCAATGCCAACCACGTAGGGGCTTACTTTTTTATCCCTAGCCTTTAATTTGACAAACTTGGTAGTCATCAAAGATATCACCTGTAGCCCTCGAGGGTTCAAGGGGGGAGGAAACCGCATGATTCCAGGGGAAGGAAGAGCTTAAACCCAAGAGCTGTAATTTGAACAAATCTTGGTAGAGGCCCACTGGACATTGTTTTATGCAATATATTTAAGCTTCTGTCTTTTAAAGTTTTAGAATAGAAGACTGTCTTTTGGTTATAGTTACAACAAGAAATCTGCATGGAAATAACCTTCTTTGAACAACTTCGAATCTTCGAAAGAGCTTCCTGTCAGGTTTATTATACCCCGACAAACGAAGTTTATGGGAGTATATTGTTATATCAGTTGATGGCCAGTCGGGCTTGGTTGGTCCGTTGCAGATTTCTTGTCCGGGACACAACTCAGAATGTGCAAGAGATATCTGCTTCACATTTTGTAGGTAGATAGATCTGAATGAGTTTAAGTGCAGTGCATAAGAAACGCAACTCCCATTCCTTTACTTTGGAGTTATTGCCCTTAGTTCATTTTTTGAACTTTGTCCGGGACATAACTTGAGAACTATAAAAAGTATCAACTTGAAACATTGTTGGTGATAGATCTGAATGAGTAGAAGTGCATTGCAGAATAACCGAAAAATCCAAATCCAAACTGTAATCTATCTTATTGATGTAGGACAAATAATTCAAAAACATTAAGAAATATATAAACTACAACATTCTCCCTATGTGCAAAGCTAAAACTTAAAAGCATGTTTTCTGAAGAGCGCGTTTCGGGGGTATTCTGAACTTGTGACAAGCTCTAGTTTCTGCCACAAGTTTAAACAACATTTTAGCAGCAGATTAGAAAGAGTTGTTGTCCGTAAAACGGACACAGCCCTAAAGCAATATGCTACCTTGAACAAGCTTTACTCAGGTTAGTTAAAATCTGCTATATAGTATTACTTCACGAAAATCAATTGTAGATCTTAAGTCGTCGCCCTGCTTTTTACTTCTTTTGAGAATGCCTTAGTTGCCCAGCACTTCACTTCAGTGTTGTTATATTTTTCTCATATTTCGGGATCATAGGGTCAAGTTCTTTTTAGTGTTGAAAATAGAGTACCGCTCAAGCCAGCGCTAGGGGCATGAGGGCTGTTGAACATTTTTATTATCCTCGTGTACAGGCTCAATCAAACCAAATCTGAAATGTTCATGTAATTTTGCTGTATTAATACTTCCGAGGGATAACTTCATTCCAGATACTTATTTAAAGCTTTCAGGCAGCAGTCTATTTCACGTAAACTGTCCTCAATCAAGTTTAAGTGATATATATTTGTCAGTAAAATGCATGATTTTGATTGTAGAATTTCGAATGTCGTACTCTTGACAGATATTTTAATCAATATATAAATGCTATAAAAAAACAGGCCTCCAACTTAAACCATGATAGCGATCAGTCGATTTACAGTGACAAATTAGTTGTGCATTTATTTTTTTTTTAAGTTGGTTTAATGATAATCAGGGTTGCCTCGCACAAAGCGTGGAGTTTTATATGTGTTCTTTTGCTTGCAATGAATTTGTGAGGCCATTACACATCTAAGATCACATTTTCATTCATGTAAGATATCTATACTCATTTTATACCAAAGTCCGCTTAACTTTGGTTAATATTATCATAATACATGTATATGATTTATGTTTATTGAATTTAGGCGATGATCTTTCTCGTCTATCGGCTCTATGTAAATATTACTTTCTTCTTATCCAGATTTGCACAAGTGGATTGAGATAAAATGTTAGAAAAAATAGGATATTTTTCATTTCATGTCTAGATCCATCATTTTTTCAAACATACGTTCTTGACTACTTTGATATCAGCTGACATAGATTTTGATCTAGTGATGTTTATTCTCGCTTTTTTTACGTACAGGTTAGGATGGTTTGACCATTTTCATAGGTTCGGGTGTAGAATTGACATCTGATATCAAATGACTTAATTGAAAAAGTGAAATATTGTCTTGCTTTTGATGTACGTCTATGAAATAAGAACCATGTCTATGATAAATTAAAGAAATTATATTTTGCATGAAACATTGGCTAGTGACCAGCATCGTTCAAATTCTTATAATAACCAAAAGTTTTCATTGTTTTACAAAAATAACAGTCTGTCCTCAGGTGAGTGCTTTGGGCCATTTTTACCCTCGTTTGTTGCTGTTGATGATGTTTTTCATTGGATCATATATATCATTCTACACATATTACAAATGAAATTTGATTCATAATGAAAGCGTACACAATTATGATACA